GAGGGGTGTTGGGAGATGAGGGTGGCAAGATAGGCAGAGGCAGATGAAGGTAAGGCTCTGCAAGCCACATGAAAGAATTTGAACATTGTTGGAAGAACCTTGGGGAGCCATTGCTGGGCTTTAATTAAAAGTGTGACCAGATCAGATGAGTGTTTTAGAATGAGAACTCTGGGGTGCAAGGTGGACTGGAGGGGACTGAGAAAAGCTGGCAGATCAGTTAGCAGGTGGCTGTAAACCAGCAAGAGATCGAGGACTGAGTTAGAGTGATAGTAGTGGTAAGGGAAGGAAGTGGGTGGATTAGAGAGCTTTGGGAAGATAGAATTGACAGGGCTCAGTGATTAATCGGATTCCCCTTTCAGTCTGACACACTAAAAATAGGGCCATAAAATGAAAAATAAAATCTCAAGGTGGGCACTGTTTTTCTGGAAGAGGCATTCTTTCTCCTTTGATCGCAGTCTTCATGAAGAAAACAAAGAAGTGGTACCCACACATACACCTGATTCTTCCTGTGTCCCGGCCATGGCACTAGGCACTAGGTTAGACCCAGAAAGATGGGTGCCTGGGTCAAATGTGGGAGGGCTTTTGAGAGACACCAGCACTGAGTGTCAAGAGGGTGCAGTGGGGTGAGTTATTGCACTGAAATTGGTGCTGAGATTATAGAGGAAGGAGTGCAGGCATCTGGATGGGGTGACCAGATGGAGAGAGGTGCTGTTTACTGAGTAGGGAGTGTAGATGGAGTGGCTTGTTTGGGCTGTGTGGGAAATGCAGGGAGCTGACTTCCACACTAGCAACATGGCAGGGAAGCCTATGAGGACAGAGGAAAGTTCCTGCATTAGTCTGTTTTTGCATTGCTATAATGAAATAAAGAAAAGAGATTAGTTGGCTCATGGTTGTGCTGGCTGTACAGGAAGCACAATGCTGGCATCTGCTCAGCTTCCTGGGAGGCCTCAGGAAACTTACAATTATGGTGGAAGGTAAAGGGAAAGCAGGGCATGTCTTTTTTTTTTTAAGATGGAGTCTCGCTGTGTTGCCCAGGTTGGAGTGTAAAGGCGCAATCTCAGCTCACTGCAACTTCTGCCTCCTGGGTTCAAATGATTCTGCTACCTCAGCCTCCTGAGTAGCTGAGATTACAGGTGCATGCCACCATGCCCAGCTAATCTTTGAATGTTTTAGTAGAGATGGGGTTTTACTACGTTGGTCAGGCTGGTCTCAAACTCCTGACCATGTGATCTGCCCACCTTGGCCTCCCAAAGTGCTGGGATTACAGGCCTGAGCCACCGCACCTGGCCTGGGCATGTCTTACATGGCTGGAGTAGAAGGAAAGGGGGTGGGGGAGGTGTAACATACTTTTAAACAACCAGATCTCAAGAGAACTCAGTCACCGTCACAAAAATAGCACCAGGAGATGGTGCTAAACCATTCGTGAAGGGTCCGCCCCCATAATCCAATCACCTTCCTGCAGGCCCCACCTCCAACACTGAGGATTCAAATTGAACATGAGATTTGGTGGGGACATAGATCCAAACTGTATCAGGTCCCAAATGCATTTTGCTTTGATGAGATAAATCAGTATAGCTGCAATGCTTCTGGAAAGTAGTTGGGGCAATGTGTGAAGATTTTTGGGAAGAAGTTTTAATTGCTTGTGCTGACTTAGGTCAGAGAATACATGATTAAGATCTAGCAGATGAGGGAGGTTTTGTCCCATGGATCTGAAAAGCAGGCTCATCTACTTCTAGCATGACTTAATCTAGGGACCAGTAGAATATTCCCATCAGAATATCACATTCTTAAACTGAGAATATTTTTCATTTTTGTGATATGACTAGACATTGATTTGGTCTTGTGTGAAGTGTGATTTGCTTAATGTGACATTTTGTTCTGAACTTGTTTACAGAAGATCGGAAACATCACGAGGAGGAACAAAAACAGAGAGACAGCAAAAATAAACTTCTTACGAGTCAAGTGGCCCACTACCCGGGCTGCAGGCTGAAGACAGAAAGTAAGTTCCATAGGTTCACCATCATGAAAGTCCTGAACGAAGTTCTGTGTTTCTTCTGAGAAACTAAAAGCTCTCTTCATCAGACTTAATTTCATTTTTGCCATACATCTAAGAAAATATAAATGGGTATTTTAATATTTTGTTAAAGGTGGACGAGAGAGGCAAAAGTATGTAGAAACTTTTCCACATCTACAGTAAGGCAGGTGTGGGACTGAGGGTAAAGACTCAGCTGTTGATTTCTGAGGATAAATCATGTTTACTGGAGTCCTCTCTGTACCACCTAGGATCCTGCAGACAAGTAGCGTCTAGTCTGTTCTAAATGTCTGAAGCTGCTGAACTTCCACTCAGTTCTGGTTTCTGCTGAGGCTCAGTAGGGAAAGCTCTGTTCTGGGGGAAATGCAATTGTAGCACGCTCTACCCACTATCGGGAGCTTAAAGAGGACTCTGCTCCTTACATAACCTGTGGCATCTGTAAGTGGCCTCATCTAGAGCAGTGATTACTCTGGTCAGAGTGATGTCCTGCTTTCTGTGCAGAGGCTCTTGTTGGTTAAGAGGAAAAACGACAGCACCCACGACTTTGTGGAGGCAGCAGTGCGTAGAGGAGGGACCCTGGGCCAGTCTCCTGAGCTCCATCCAAGTTGCTTTTGTAGACAGTTGTTGGCACAGAATAATCACTGTCCATTAGTTCTTCATTCTACTGTGTCTAGCATAAGAGAAACTTTATTAGTCTGTGCATATTTCCTTTATGGGCTTATGAGAGACTCCAGACCTCCATACTTCCACGATGACAGTTTTATCAGTGGTGTTTTCTTCCACTAAACATATGTAGCCATGACGTGACTAGGACTTTCTGAACAAGAACACAGATGGGAAACCCATGGGGTTGGAGGTCACGGTATTGTAAATATCCCTCCTTCCATGATGGATGGAGGTCTTTGGAGCAAAAGGCAGCATCTCTCCAGTTGTAAAGGACATGAAGGAAGCTGTGACAGAAGGGCAGTTATTGGAGTGGAAAGAGGTCTGGAGTAAGAATGAAGGTTCCCAGGCTGTATCTTCAGCAGTGTTCCTAGGAACTGTCAGTGAGCAATTGATTCCTCCTTGCTGACTTTCTCTGTCTTCATCTGCAAAGGCAAGTAAATTTCTCTCTCTCCATCTGCAAAGGCAGACATCTTGCAGTGTCTGAAGCATTCAAATGTGCAAACACTTATGACCGTTTATCACAATGAGATAAAGCCCCTCGCTGTGTGGTGTTGGAGAAAGCACTTGATGTGTGGGCATCTGGTGTTAGGAAGTGGTTCAGACTGGAGCACTCCCCGTGGAGAGAATGTCCCTGAATAACATAGCAGAAGCCACTTGGAGGGCCTGTGAAATCACCTGATATGCAGAGGATTGTGGGACAAATTCGTTTATCCTCTAGTAAGAGAAAGAAATAGGTTGTAAATGTGAACTGTGACCGGATCCCAAGCCTGTCCCTGGGAATCAGATCTGTGTCAGGATGGCGGAGACAGCTGCCAAAGTCCAGAGAGAGGCTGCACAAGCCTCCAGTGATGTGGAGAGCAGAAGTGTTTTCAACATTTGGCCTCATCTTGATGGTAAGCCTCCTGATCAGAAATGCACTGCCTGCTGGATCAGGAAACCATGCTGGGGCATTTTGTTAAAGAGAAAACATGAGAGCTTTCAGAGAACGGGGACCCATACACATGTTCATGTCACTGAGCACATTGGGCTGACTGTCCTTGCAGAGTGTGAAATGGGAAATATCTGAATGAACACATCTGTTCTTGCAGAAAACGACAAAGATGAGGATGAAGATGTTCATGTTGTGGAGGCTGAGAAAATACAGGAATCACGTGTCCCCAGGTAACACTGAATAATCAGGAGCAAGTAATGGGTGGTAAAGTATGGAAAAGGTCTAGAAGCATACCCTCTGTGTGGTCTCCCATGGGCCAAAAGCCTGCATTCCCTTGGCCACAATATGTTCAGTTCAACCCAACTTAGACACAGGGTGTGGCAGCTGTTGTGGTTCTTTGTATGTGCTGCGTGCCGTGTCTGAATTTTACAGGGATAACTGAGTCTCTTTTCTTCTCGGCTCCTTTCTGCCCAGTGTGATGAATACCAGCTGCTGTCTTTCTCTCCGGTTCCCATGGCAGCCATCCTCTGTTGCAGAGATGAGGATTGCCTGTTTCCTCTCAAAGGGAACCTCCCATTTGCCTTCTGGGACCACTCTCTCATTCCTCCTGTGAAAACTAGCTAGGACTCCCTGGGGTCCAATCCCTCTTTGTTTAATCTTCTGTCATCTCTATCCCATCTGGCTCATCAGGGAGGTGCAGAAGATTGAAGTCAAGAAAGTCCCTGAGGACTCACTGGAGAAATATGTCATCACTCGTTCAAATAGCTACGGCCCTACTGACTCCAGCCAGCCTCACGGAGACACCAATGAAATCACATTTGAGGAAGACAACGTCCACTCTGCGCTGGTTGTAGAGAGTGAATCATCTCATGATGTGGTGGAGGATGCTCTAATTATTCTTTCAGGTGACCTCTACATTCGTTGTTTTTGGTACCTCTGTCTAGGCTGAGGAAGATAACTCTGAAGAAAGGCTCTATACACAGAAATCGGTTTGAATAAAAACCTATCATGGGATACTAAACACAGATACCAGGGAATTTTTATCTCATCCTCAGCTCATGCCATGCATTTGTCTCTGAGGCCCAAGAATCAAGTTACCAGACCCCAGACCAGTGTGACAAGCTCATGGTTACCTGTGTGCAGGAGGTGTACAGGAGGTGTCTGTCAGGTCTCCTAGCTTTGATTCAGTATCTCTCATGTCATTAGGTCGTCTTCCCTGAACAATGTCCCTGGAATTTCTATTTATTTTTAAGGAACCTGGGAGCTTTGCCTATTTGGAGAGATTGTTCCCCAGGTTTCACTGCTCTGAGTTTCAGTCTTGATCTCTTTTAAGCCAGCTTGCTTAGCTGCACAGTCACCTTGAAACCAGGATGAAAACATTTCCTCTTTACCTTGCTGATATGTTTCCATAAAGCAAGGCTCAGCCCTGGCTCTCCTCTCCATCCATGCAATGGCCGATCTGATGTTTCTTCGTAGCATCATGTACTGTTTCTTGTTGTTTTTGAGATGGAGTCTCATTTTGTCACCCAGGCTGGAGTGTAGTTGCACCATGTTGGCTTACTGCAGTCTCCACTTCCCGGACTCCAGTGATTCTCCTGCCTCTGCCTCCTGAGTAGCTGGGACCATACATGCCCCCCACCACACCTAGCTAATTTTTGTATTTTTAGTACAGATGAGGTTTCACCATGTTTGCTAGGCTGGTCTTGAACTCCAAACTTTAAGTGGTTCACCCACCTTGTCCTTTGAAATCACAGATTTTTTTTTTTTTTTTTTTTTGGAGATGGAGTCTCCCTCTGTTATTCAGGCTGGAGTTCAGTTGCACTATCTCAGCTCACTGCAACCTCTGCTTCCTGGGTTCAGATGATTCTGCTGCCTCAGCCTCCCGAGTAGCTGAGACTGCAGGCACGTGCCACCATGCCCAGCTAATTTCTTTGTATTTTTAGTAGAGACAGGCTTTCACTGTGTTAGCCAGGATGGTCCCGATCTCCTGACCTCGTGAAGTGCTCACCTCGGCCTTTGAGAGTGCAGAGATGACAGTCGTGAGCCGCCATGCCCGGCCCACAGATTCTTTTTTGTTTTGTCTTTTTTTATTCAGTCTCCTCAGAGACTGTCAAAAATTGTCAATGCCGACTCTATTGCATGCCATCACGGTGGGGTATTGGGAAAAGTTTTCAATTAGCAATCACCTCATCTCAGGTAAAACTCATTGGCTATGATAGTGGCACTGAGCAAAGCTCACAGATTCTTTTTAAAGCAAGTGCTGTTAGAATTTACATATCAGTCCAGTTTCATGTATAAATGCCTCTAACCATTCAATGACCCTGGTATCTGGTGAGATAAGTCAGTATTGCAGCACCACTCACAGAAAAGAGTTTGACTCATTTTTGGAGATTTTCTGGGAAAAAAATTGGTTTCACTTTGCATGGACTCAGACAGAGAATATTACATTATGGTCTACCCATAGAGGGAGATTTTGGCCTGTGTGTCTGGAAAGCAGGCTCACCTACTCACCAGGCTTCATCTAGGGCACCCTGGAATAGTCCTGTCAGAATTTGTATTCTTGCCCTGAGAATATTTCTGTGCTTGTGCTATGACTAAACACTGATTTGGTCCTATGTGAAGTGTGATTTGCTTAATGTGACCTGTGTCTCTGAATTTATTTAGAGAAAGTCAAAGTGATGATGAGGATGAGGAAGAAAGAGGGCCAGTGCCCCCCAGGTAATGCTGTGGAGTTGTGGGCTGTTAGTTCAATAGTGACACCTGAAGACTGTAGATCCTGGGAAAACGAGGAAGTGATGACTAGAACTCTTTCTTCCATTCACTCAGCTACAAATTGTCCTTATTAACAATGTTGTGGGTGATTGGTGGCACTTGCATAGGCTTTAATTTCTCACTCCTCCCAAGATGGGAACGTGCAATCAGATGAGCCAGGTGAACTCAGCAAACAGGGATATCCTGGTTTTGCCTGTTCTCCCCACTGTGTTTAAACCCAGAGAGATGCATATGTGCTTTCTGCCCATTTGTTGTGAGCATGTTTGCTAGGATTTGTGAAGAGAAGGAATTCAAAACATAGACATATGTTATCAAGACACTGGAAAAGGGAGGCCCTTAATACACAAGATCTGGGTGTCTGAAATGCCTCAGGAGCTCTGTTCACTTGAATGCTGCATGTAAAATTTCAACACAACTTATGTGAGGCAGTTGAAGCCCTGTGTTAGTTCTCATGCTGCAAATCATGATGATAGTTTATAGGGAGAGTCGGTGGCCTGTAGTGGCTCATCTTTGGCAAATGCATTGAGCACATGCTGCTCATTAGTGCTCTGTCCCCAGGGTAGTCACCCTCCACCCTGCATTTAGAAGGGATAGTTTTTTTTTCTCTTGAAGGAAAAATGCCTTTGCTTTCTCTGACCATTCCATTCTGACTTCCATCAGATCAGGTGGGGGACTTTGTTTTCTAATCTCTGTTGGTTTCATCTTCTGTCATCCCTGTCCTGCCTGGCTCATCAGGAATCTGCAGGAGTCTGTAGAGGAGGAAGCCCTCCAGGAGTCCTGGGATGAAGGTTATTCGACTCTCTCAATTCCTCCTGGCACATCTGCCTTCAATGAGTCTTACAGGAGCAACTTGCAGTCATTAGAGGAGCAGCAAGTCAACTTGGCTGTCGACATAGGCAGTGAGTACTCCATTGTGAAGTTGATAAAGCTCCAATTTGTGTTCCAGATAGACCCCATAGTCTTCGGGCCTTGCTCCGCTGGCCGGGCTGAGAGTTGTCATCACTGTGGGCTGAACCTGTCCATCAGGGTAGATTTCAGTCACTCTGGATTCCAGTCTGAAGCATGGGCATGCGGTGGGTCAGTGAGCTTTGCTCTCTCTCTAGCCTCAGTCCATGCCCGTTGCAACCTGGACCGACTGTCAGGACATTGAAACCCAAGGCAGGTGTTGCCAACTCACACCAAGCTGTGCAGCGCATGCCCATGAGTTGTCTCAATCTGAATTAAATGTCTCTTGCCAGCTACCATGCTCCTCAGGAGTTTTGTTCCCCATGCATGTCTGTGAGGTTCTTTCCTGTTTGTACAAACTTGGGATAAAGGGATAATGGTCTGCCAGAATAGGGACATTTCACCATTGGTTCTGAGACACAAACCAAGGAATCTCTATCATGATTGGCTTTGAGACCTCCTGAAGTCTGTCTCTCACATTATCCTGTTCTCATGCTGAGGAGCCTGAGCTCCCTTTGCAGGGATTAGACAGTGGACTGTTTCGGGTGTAGGGTAATGGCTTATTTTGTCTGTCCCTATTTGAATTTATTGCAGGTTAAAAAGGACCAAGAAGAGGAAGAAGACTGAGGCCCACTGTGCCCCAGGTAACTCTGAGCAATTGTGAACAGCTAATGTTGTGCTGACATCTGGAGGCGCCAGGTCCAGGGAAAACAGAGTGGGCTGATAATATCAATACCATCTTTTCAACGAAGCCTGAATTATTCCTACTAACATTGCTGTTGGTTTTCATTGCAGTAGATATTTAGGTTTCCATTTCTTCCTCCCCTTACCATTTACTAACTACTGTAGGTTGACCATGCTTGTTTTTATGATCAGTGTACACTGTGTGTCCTGAGGGCACTAACTCAGAGTGTGCTTTTACTCCCTCATCAGTGTGTCACCTGGACGGTTCACTGAGCTTACTTTTTCTTTCTCTTTCATTCTTTTTACCCTACTCTTGTCCATCCCAGCATAAGGCAATAATTTGTTGCGTTATTAATGGATCTATGTTTTTTCTTTATTAACCACTTTCTTGTGCTACCCATGAAATGTATTTGGGGCTCTGCAGTGTCTTATTTTCCCTGACTTATTCTTTGGTTATTCCTCCTTTTTTAGGCTCAGCATGGAGCTGGTGGAAGCAGAAGAGCCTGAAGTCTTCTGGTACTCACTGGATATATTGTGTTCAACATATACAGCGTATCTTGAGTTTTATTACACATGCCAGGCTTACACATATGCCATTTTTTTATTTGTAGAAGAGCATGTTCACTTGACTTTGGACATGGACAGTAGGTTTCATACTATGACGGTGATAAGACTCAACCTGGTCTCCCGGATAGGGGTCATATTCCCACACTAAGGCAACATGTCACATGGGACTCTGCCAGTGCAGAGTATGAACAATGCCATGTTCTTGCTAAAAACACTTAGCCTGAGTTTCATAGCCTGAGATAATCTCCAGACAACTTCAGAATGTAGAACAGTGAGCAGCACTACTGACCTGTCTCCTTCAGACAGCCCATGTCACCACAAATCACACAACTAAAAGAAGAGACATTTTGGGTTGAAAAAGAGTAAAAAGATAATGTAGCCACATTTCTTTAGTTCTTTTGAACCCAAAGTGTCTCCTCATCTTTTTGTTGTTGTCGTTGATGGTGGTGACATGGGCTTGTTTGTAGAGGACAGGTCAGCTGTCTGGCTCAATGGTCTGTACTCTGAAGTTGTCTGAAAATGTCCTCCTGATTAAATTCAGCCTAAGCGTTTTTCCGGGAACACTGCAGGGTCAATGCTACCTCACCCATCTGCAGGTAGAGACAGTCCCATGTGTCTACCACCATAATCGTGATACCAGGACTGTTCCACCATTTGTCTACCACCACGATCGTGATGCCATGACTGTTCCACCATCTGTCTGTCATCATGATCGTGATACCAGGACTGTTCCATCATCTGTCTATCACCATGATCGTGATACCAGGACTGTTCCACGATTTGTCTATCACCATGACCATGATACCAGGACTGTTCCACGATTTGTCTATCATCATGATCGTGATACCAGGACTGTTCCACCATTTGTCTATCACCATGATCGTGATATCAGGACTGTTCCACGATTTGTCTATCACCATGATCGTGATGCCAGATCTGTACCTTTCAGAGACACATTATTTATACTGAATGGTTTTTAAAAGTATTAATATCCTATATTCAAATGATCATCCCTCAACATTTTATTATTCATTAATCATCCCTGACTGTGTCAATTATTATGTTTACATCTGTACACTGGAAATTTTCTATTTTTACTGTATCTTTGTGATATTGTGCTGGCCTAGAGCCAGAACCGGAGCAAAACTATTTTATAAAATGCAAAACTGTTTTTAGATAAGTTGAAATGGCTGCCCCATTCTCCTTACAATAACTACTGTCCTTGGCCTCTGTAAATAGAACTGCTGTTTGTTCTTCAAAACTATGTAAAGTTGCTTACCTTTTCTTATCAGTAACTGCCAGAATTGCTAGCCTTTGCTTACCGGCAATTGCCAGACTAAGCAGCCCAAGCTATTTCCATCCTGGCTCCTGTGACTTGTAATAAGTAACTAAGGTCTGTGATTTCCACCTTAACCAGATAATGTGTAAACAAATCTTTATCTTGACTTCTGTAAATCACTTAAGTAACAAACGGAATGACAAAAGTCCCCTTGGCCCTTGGAATGTCCGGAGACCCCCACCCTCATCTCTGCCCAGGAGGTAATTTACAGAATCCACTAGCCCTCGGAATGTCTGAAGCCTTTTCATCCCCATCCCTGCCCCTCACCCCCACTCCCAAGGTGGTTTTTCGGGTATAAAAAATCGTGGCACCCTCCTGTTGGCACCACAGGTTGGAGAGACGTGAGTCCTCTGTGGTCGCCGGCATAATAAAATGACCCTGCAATCTGGCATACTTTTGTCTTGTGATAACTTTCTACATTCGGTCAAATACAACATTTGGAGTTCCCCAGCGAGAAATTCTTTTTGTTATCACCAGACAAAAGCCATCTCAGAATCTCGCCCGGGCGGCCACTCCCACCATGGGGGCCTCTGGGGAGGCGCCCCCTGTTCTTTCACAGGGCCCCGGAGAGCCACCGTGGAGGATAAGCGACCTCTCGGCCGACATTCACCCT